GCGCAAGCCAAACAATGGGCCCTATAATTGGAGTAAATTAACGGTTAAGCATTAAAAAAATGAAAATCGGTACATAATTTGGACGTTCATTTGATATATAATGTTTTATGTTTATCTTACTGAATACAATGATCTTGCTGTGGCGCTAAAATTTTGACTGTGGCGGAACTTTGGCGCGGTTTTTAGTATTTGCAGAACACCGTAAAAATAAAATGTTCCGAACAAAAAAGTCAGTAGTAGGGGTGACAGTACCTGTGGGAAATAAAGCCAGATTGTAGTAAAAGTACACTATCACTGATATTTTACATTACTTAGAAAAACAAAATTGTTTTAAGTTTTAGTAAAACTATACTGATATCAATATATATGTTTTAATGACATTTAATATTATTTCCTCTCCTGCAAGTCTATGAACGAATTCAAGATATCCCAAGTCAACTTTATTCAGGCCCGTAGGAAGCAATTTCAGTTTGGGGGGGGGGGACACAGCCAAACATTTTTCAGTTGACAGTTGAGGGGGCACTACCAAAAATTTCCTGACAAGCAAAAAAAAAAAAAAAAAAAAGTCGGTCAACTACCAAAAATACCTTGACAAGCAAAAAAAAAAAAAGGTCATCAGACGTTTTTATTGAGGGGGCACAAGCATATAATATCTATGTTTACTATAGTAATCTATATATCGACAAAATCATTGGGGGCACGGCCCCCCGTGCCCCACTCGGCCGATTCGTACCTCATCATTGATGAAGGTGACGGAATCAGCCGAGGTTTGCCGAATGCCCCGTGCCCCCCCCCCCCGTTCCTACGGCCATGTTATTTACGTTGCTCATCGGAGTTAATTAATGCAAAGAAACAGAAAAACAAACCTTTAATGTATTGCAGTAATAAGATGCCCTTTCACGTATTTCACTATTTCGTCATGGTTATCCCTTGAATTGGGTTGTCATAACTCTCATTGATACATCACCTTAGCTTGTTGTGTTTTCTTTGTTTAGGTAGCCGCTCAAATAAACGTTCAAATATATGTGTGTCATTTCCGGGAAGATATAACTGCACTTTACAGTAAAACGTGATTAATTTCAAAACGCGTTTAGATATAAAACGTTAAGACATAAGTGTTTAGTTGTTAAACACAATACTATACACGTTTAGCAAAGGCGCTTGACGTTTTTAACCTTTCTTTTCATAAATAAAAAATTCCCCATACTATTATTATAGAATGGGGAATTTTTTATTTATGAAAAGAAAGGTTTAAAACGTCAAGCGCCTGTGACGTTTAGATCTAAACATGTAATAGAAGTGTTTATTTCCTAAACACAATTTTTACAGTGTATATATACATAAATATGTGCAAACAAAAACGATATCCTTAGTTTATCTGTTTTCACAAAGGCTTCAACTTTTTTCGACAAGAAAACTTCTTGAATACATTAGCATAGGAGGATTTGACCACATTTCAAGAAAAAGTGTCTTGTGTCGGAGGGGAGGGGGCATTTTCAGTGAACATTTTCAATGAACATTTTTGTACTAAATTAACAGTAAAACATTAAGTTCGGGATAAAAGGGGTGCATGCAGCCCCCTCCCCCCCCCCCCCCTCATACTACGTGTGTGATGCTGAATCCAATTCGTATAAGAGAGAATATTCCATTATTTTAAATATCCATGTATGTTTACGTATAAATTTCTTTTTCGACTGGCTGTTTAAGCAAACTGATACTCATTTTTTCTGATTTAAATTGGTCTGTCGTATGTTTGTCTAGCCGCCCGTCTGTCTGAAAATTTTTCGCATTTTCGACTTGCATGTATTTAGAACCGCTGGGCCAATTTCAACCAAACTTGACACAATAAATTATTGGATTCAAGTAAGTTCAAGTGAAGGGATATGCCCCTTTTCGGAGAGGGATAATTAAAGAACCATAGCCACGAATCATCGAAATTTCCCTGCCTCGAAAATTAACTTGCGTTTCTTAATAAATAGTGTAAACTTTTTCCTTTTTGTAACCCGTTTTTCTTATTTCGATATCTATCATTTATACTGAATTTGCAAAATGACAGGGTTTTTTTTGTTTTGCCTTTTTTCAAGTGGGGCTAAGGGAAAGAGGGGGGGGGATAAAGTTTTACGGTGAAATATAAGAGGACAATATACTAATAATTTCTCAATACCCACAATTAGTCATATTAGCATATAAACATCTATACATCTATACTGAAGATCCAGGGCCTAGGGTGGGGCAACAGGACGAGGTCATAAGCCGACATAGGAAGAATCTTTTTTAAACCTTTTTGAAGAACAACAGGGTCATTAATATGCAAGCATCCCTTGCTACCACAAGGCCTTTTGTGGTAGGGTGGGTCAAAGTTGGGGGTCAACGTTTTACATTGGAAAATATAAAGTACCCGGTAAACAAAACTTTTCTCAAGTATATGAGAGGTATAATATGCAAGTACAACCAAACCTCGTTATCTCGGACTCTATGGGACAGAGAAAAAATCCGAGATATCGAATGATTCGAGTATTTCCAAGTAGTAAGATTAAAATCTGTTCAAATCATTGCACCTGAGCTAAGGTGTAACCACAGTAGCCCCTAACAGTTTATTTTTAACATTGGGATAGAAATATATATTAAAACCTTCCTCTAAAAACAAGGCCAACAGTTAGTCACATCGATCAACTCATACAGGCATTACCACTTAGTTCATTTTAAAATTTACCGCTTGTGCTGTGGTACGGCACGAGAGGGGGTGTCTTGCATTAAAATACAAAATAAAAAAATCTTTAAAATCTTCTCAAGAACATATTGGCTAAAGCAAGTCAAATTCATTAGAAAGTACCCCTATACGTAAGAACATTCAGATTTGGTCCCTTAAAGTACATTGCATGGGGCCACAGTGGATTTGGCCCCTTAAAGTACATTGCATGGGGCCACAGTGGGGGGGGGGGGGCAAAGTTTACATTTGAATGCACATGTATAAGAATTATTATTAAAAGAGTTGAAAGTTTTAAACAGAAATATGTGAACTTTTGCAAGAGCTACAAGGCTATAATTTTTAAGTTTACCTCAAGCCTCAATACTGCTGAAATGATGGATTTGATGATTTCATGAATGAAGGGTTTTTCATTAATCCATAAACATGTCAATAAGATTAGTCGTCTAAAGTGAGCCTTATAGCTCATGAGCCTCTCTCTTTCTTCTGCAGTTATGTACACTTGGTAACAACATTGTTAGCAAAGTTCTTCAAAATAAAGTAAAACCATGTTATCCCGAACTCGATGGAGGTAAAACAAAAACGCCACATTATCCGAGGAATCAAGATTATATTTACATAGGGAAAAGGTGGTAGGGACTTTATTATTGTGCAGTAAATATGAAGACTGGAGGTGGAAAGTAACCCTGACCTCTAACCTTGTAACCTTAAAATTTAATGGTTTCTTCTTCTAGCCATTTTCTGACTGTACTGTAAAAAGGTAGGTCTATCAAGAAAAAAAACTTTGGTTATCTCAATAAGCATATGTATAGTGTATACTGAATCGTGGAGATGGACAGTCACACACCATGATTACTACGCGGCACTCTCATTTTCATGCAGAACATTCTGTTACTTTTGTTGAACCAAATTTTGGAAAGGCCAGTTTACAAACTTGCATCACTGTTTTGTGTGTAACTGTCCATCTCCATTGAAACTTCAGTCAAGAAAGTCAATAGAAATGTAAGAAAGCAAAACCAACACAACAGTTTTGTCAGTTCTTTTCAGTGATGTGCGTATTAGCAAAAATCGTGCACTCCCATGAAAACGTAAACATGAACACTCAATGAGCTGTAGCCAATGTTTTCAACACAGGTTTAAACTGAAGTTATGTTTAAAATAAGTAATGAAATTCACAATTGTGAACAAAACAGTGATGCAAGTTTGTATCCATCCCTTTCTAGTTGAGTGGAATACACGTAGATAAAGCAGTATGGGCTGGCAGCATATTTTGCCTGTATATACTATATTGTCTAAAAAAATGAAAAAAAGTAAAGTTGTTTTCCCAGCATATTTTTCGGAAAAAAATTATGAATATTCATTGAAAATCATTGTAAAAAATGCTTGTAAAAATATCATATTATCGTGATATTTAGGGGGAAAATCATGATATATCGCGTTACGAAATTTTTGTTGATACCCATCCCTAGTCTTCAGTGCAAACAATGTCCCCATCATTTAAACAATTTAAAAAAAATATGTCCATAGTATATGAATACCACCCAGGGTTCATTTGTAATGCAACATGAAAAAAATGTTCCATGCTTCTTTAAGATAAGGGTAAATGAGAAATAGTGAGGTCAAGGTCACAGGGAAGGTTAAGGTCAGAAAATTATGTTGAATAACTCTTACCTCACCACTCTGTTTTAGAGTATGAAGTCTGTTGAAAATATGTTGAGTAATTTCCTTTTTAAAAGCGAGTTCTATACACAATAAAAAGTAAAGTCAGAGGTCATTGGGAAGGTCACAGTAAAAAAAAAGGAAACAGTTGATAAATTCTGCCAATATGTATCAGTGTATGTGCTTTGATAAAAATATCTTTTAAAATTGTTTCTTTGAAACCGAGCTAATCAAAATGAAACATAAAGAAAAGCAAGCTCAAGGTCATCACCAATATGTATCAGTACATGTGTATAATGTTTTGATAAAAATATACTGAATAGTTTCTTTAAAACTGAACTAAATGCAAAATAAAATAGTAAGATCAAAGTCATAGGGAAGGTCAGGATAAAAAAAATATTGATGCAGTTGAATAGCTTTCACCAATATGTATCAGCATATGAAGTTTGATAAAAATATCAAATAGTTTCTTTGAAACTAAGCTAAATGCAAAGTGCGACAGATGGAAGGATGGACGGATGGAAGAAGGACATGACAAACACTATATGCCCTGGCCATGTTCATGGCAGAGCATAAAATTCCTAGTTCATATTTGTAAAATATGTATAGCAGGTAGGATAAAAACAGTAATGGTTAGATTCAACAATTTAATCATGCATGAACTATTTGTATACCATACAATACAAAAAATTCAAACGAAGATTAATATATTATATAAATATTAACATACGAAAAATGACATGGTCAAGGTGGATATAATTCTTACAGCATTTACCAGGTGATTTGATGCTTGTAGATGTTTTTAACTTTTAATCCAACATGTACAAACATTAATTAATGAACATTTACATACATATACAAGTATATTTTGTGATTTGATCCTGAATGACACTATTCATTTTTTTTATGCCAAAATCAAACGAGTCTTACAGATCACACACTGTTCTAGAATACTGATGATATTCTACATTCTTATATTCAATATTATACAATGATTCTGATGGGTAACACACTGTTCCAGAATATAGATAATATTCTACATTCTAATATTCAATATTTTAGGTAAAAGTTTTTAATGCAGTGTCAATGTACAGGGTGTTTAACAAACATCAGGTTTTACTGCACTTGAAAAAAAGGCAAAATTGGCACAAAATTGACAACACAGCATGGGACAAAAATCAGTAGAGCTACCATACATCAGTGACTAGTACAAGAACATAATTTACTACAAACAACATATTAAACTTTTCTAGACTCTACACTCAGTTCTATTCAGAATCAAAATTTTATATATGGAATATAATTAAAGAAATTCCATGAACATAATTCATATCAAACTAGACTGTACTTAATTTTATTATATAATGATATATTGAAATGATGATTTGAACTATCCTACTGTAAAATTTAAGAAACAATGAAAAAAAATTATATTATGCAGAGTACAAAAACAACTGCCATGAATAAATCTGCTTTTTTTTCTTTATATGCCACATGGAATAAATTCACTTTGAGAAGGTGGTTACTCTTGAGGACTACAAGACATAATAAAAGACCTGCCTACTGATGTTTTCCATAGTTTTCTATCAATTTGTCCATAAGATTTGAATTTTATGCAGCAGATTTTCTACTTTTAATGCAGAAAATTTAAACAAGTTCAGTTTAAACAAATAAAGTCATTGTTGTACTCACAGAAAATATGTTTTAAAATCAACTTAGTCATAACAACTCTTGGGATAAGTAGAGGTCCAAAATATTTCCAAAACTACTGTTTATAAATGTTAATCTTGATGTTTTTGTACATATAATAGGACATCTAGTCATGGTAATCTAAATGCTTGTTAAATGTATGTCTAGACATTATCACTCCAAAAGTATATAACTGCTCAAGGGTTATTATTCATAAATTAAGATCTAAATATTTTGAATTAGCTTTTCAAATCGTAGAGCTAATTTAGGGTGTCAAAAATCATAAAAATTACTGGTAAACCAGGAGAGTAGGCAGGTCTATTAAACAAGAACAGAAATGTTTTACAACTAATAAGCACAATGTGATAAAATGCAACAAGAGCAGCTTAAATGACACATACAAGTACTATAAAAATTCAAACACAAAATGGCACATACAAAATGAAATACATTGATTAGTTTCCTCCTTAATTTTCATTTCATTTTTGCACTTAAATTAAAGGGTGTAAATCAAACTTATTTATTCATGTACACATGGACTATCATACAATCATACTTAAATATAAATTAATAAACACAGCACTATAGGGTATGTTGGAATGTGAGCATTCTGACAAGTAAAAATAAATAAGTATTTAATTCCCTCTCCTGATCTCATACAAGTAAACATTTCTTGACTTGAACACTAATACACACTCAATCCTCAGAATATAAAAATATTCCAAAGAAGTACAAACAAAAATTGTTGGAATTCAGCAAAAATTAGCTTAATATCCATAACAAAATAATGAAATTAATAGACTTACTCCTCCTAACCCAATGAAAATCATAGAGATAATAGATACAATACAATTCCAAGTTAATTAAAAAAAAGTATATATAGGTTTGAATAGCATATTAGTACGTTTTTGAAAATTGACAGAAAAATAGCACTATTTCCACAACTGATTTACCCAGCAGTTACACTAATTAACACACAAATTCTTTGTTGCTAAAAGTTGCACTCGCAAGCTCTTCGACACGCTAGTAACATCTTGCGTACTTTGGTTCAGGAAAAAATTTAAAGTAATTTACTTCTATGACAAAAAACATTTAAGGCTAACAAACATAACATGGCTATTCTCTGGAACAATAATAAGAATTAGCTGCAGTTAATAATCTAATTATCCCTGAAATGATTAGTAAATTATATTCACCATAGACACCTTGGACAAATGTACAAGAAAATTAAAAGTCACCAAACAGTTGCCTTGCAAATAATCAAACTAATCATTAATAAATGATCTTTGGTGAAAAAATTATTGAACACAGATGGTTATTCAATGAAATTTTGTTGCTGTCTTTACATAAATCTAAATATCACCTTCTTATTGGACAGTCAAATATTTTCTTATAATGAAGCAGCAAAGTAGTGTAGTAAAATTCAATTTTATGATTCAGCAGTTTTCTTTTCTATAGAGAACACAAATAAAGAAGCGAGAACCACAAAATAAATTTTAGATGATACTACAGTCAAACCTCATTATCTCAAACTCAATGGGACTGAGAAAAAACTTTGAGATATCTGAGGATTCAAGATATCGGGGTTAAATACTTAGAGAATACGGGGTTGGGACTTCCAAATCACTTCGACATATCCATGGTATTCCAGATATCAGTGTTCCAGATTCCAAAGATCAACTGTATATTACTTAACTTTTCACCAGTTACAGGTACATACATGTACATGTGCAACCTAAACTACATGCTTGAATTCAAACAAATTACCAGATTTTCCTACATTTACATTAAAAACTTCACTTACTGTACAAGAAATGAACACTATTTATCATGATATCAGTACAATTTTGATTTTCTTTTCAACTTTATGAGTATTTTGCAGCATAAAATGATATATGATAAATTAATTATAAATAAATTTATAATTAATAATACACAACTGGCAAAAAAAGGGGGGGGGGGGAAGAAAAGAAAAAACCTGCAACAAATGAGCTTCCTTCTATTCTAATATACTATTTACTTTGTTATGATGCTGATATCAATGAATATGTAGTAGATTATAAAATTCAGGAATATTCAAAATGTATATAAATTATCTTTATGATTAGAATAAAATATGAAATGTTGCAGAACAAAAGGCAAGAGCTCAGTCACACACTGTCAATTGCATCATAAACTAAGCTGCAAAATTAGAAATGTCTCTACAGTTTAAAGTCCTTCATGTATTATTACACCCAACTCCTTCCTTGGAAAAAAAAATCTGTCATCAAATCTTGTCAACCGATTAGCTTCAAAGACAAAAAAAAAAGTCTTCAAGGTTTAGAGAGCAAATGTAAATAAAAAGATGATAAACATTGCAGAAATGGTTAAATTTGCATACTGAAAAAAACCTTCTAATCTACAATTTTAAACACTGCATAAATCATGTTTTTTCCTGAAAATCTTCCACTGGATCAATATGTTGAAAATCATCTGGTTCTGAGTGATCTGAAAGCTGAGTCTGAACCGGTTCTGTCTGGTCTGTTTCCATGGACTCATCAGGATTCTCTTCTGCTTGTTCCTCCCTCAGTATACTGGTTGAGGTAACCTTCATTTCCTGTGTGGACTCTTTTGTAGAGGAGGTGGAATTAGCTGTCTTGTCCTCTCCCTCTTCTTCTATAGATTCTGTATCACTCTCTTCTGTTTCTTCATCCTCTTCCTCCTCAATACCTGTGCAAGAATTTCTAGTGTAATTCTATCTTCATTACATCATGAATATTAATAAATGCTGAACATTTCTTGATGCACCTGAACTACATTATCAGACTGTACAATCTATAGAAACATTATAGCCATGAACCACAACCCCCAACCTGCTGAAAATGCTAACATACCTGTAGACTATGAAACTCTTAAATTTGAAACAGTGAATGGGTCTCAAGAATAAATTATTAAATTATTCACATATTGATGTAGCTATAATATACAGTGCTAATAGATTATTTAGAGTAATTTTTTTTATTAAACTCCAAGTCATACAGTACCTGCCAGAAAGGGCACTTTTCAGAACTATCATTTAAGTAAAATTCATATTGCATACCTGATTTTGTTAAGGATTTAACAGGGGATTCAAAGTCCAGCTTTGGTGCAGTGGGCCGCTGTTTTCTTGCAGGATTGAAGAATCGACAATAGGCACATCTGAAGGCTAAGAAAGAGAGAGGCAACATCAGGCTATGTTATGATTATGACCACTGTTAGTAAAAATTATTTGAATTAAGTGGAATGGCAATTAATATTTGCTCTATGTAAAAGCAGAATTCAAATGTAGATTGATGTAACCTGAGTAGTGTCAAATTGATAACATTTATCCAAAAAAAAAAAAAAAAAAAAATAAATCCCTAACAAATCTTTAAACGAAATATATTTTAATACTGGTATGCTTATTTTGAAAAAAGGAAATTAATCCAACTAAATCATTTTAGATCACTTTAATATCAACAAATTTTAATCCTCATAAAAATTTCTGATATCACAGTAGTGGTCATAGGTTGTTAATTTATCCCATTCTAAAGGACAGGGTGGTTTGGGATGGGTGGATATTTGTATCCATTATTGAGTGACAGGCTCTTAAAACAAAAACAAAAAACAAAAACAAACTGAAAGGGACTTAAATTAACATCATATTAGGCAAGATTTCTTTATAGTCTGTCCAACATGACAGTTTCTGCCTCATTGTTTACAATAGCAAATAAATGGTGAATTGTCTTGAAAGAAAATATCATTAAACAATAAAGTTTTATTATTTCTAGTCAGATTAGATCAAACCAGTAGAACAGGATTTTTTAAAGTCTACTGAAATTTTCAATGTAAATATTTGTTATTGCTGTCAAGCACACAAGGGAGTTGTGATCATTTCACAAGATTATATGAAATTGAATCTAAATTGGTTCCAAAAGTGTGCTACTCATTATATTGTATGCTACATGTTGAGATCAAGCAATAGAAAATCACATATAATGATGGGTCCCTTTCCAATATAATGTTGCCATTTTCGCGATGTTAATTCCCACAGACTTTGAATCAACGGCTTGAAGGGGGGGGGGGGGGGATTGGTTTGTTGATTGAACTGAGTTTGAAGGCCAGTTAAAATATATTAAAGCAATATCAGTATAAAATAAAGAAAGGCAAGTACCAATGTATTCAAACTCCTCCTTCAAAGCCATTCCATTATGTGATGCACACTTTTGACAGATTAGTGCATACTTGTGTTGTGGTCCATCTCCTAACAGATACTCCAACACCCTGTCCATTTTTGTTCGGTCCCGTGGGGGTATGGGCCTGGTCAAAGAGGAGGGCCCTGCTAAAGATCAAAATTATGAAACAAAGGTGAATGATCTTCTCATTTACTGTAGGTTTTATTAATTCCATGGTACTAAAATTTCTCAATTTGTTAGAAATGTACCAATCGCAATTGTTTTAATTTCACACTATAAACTTGTGCCTTGTTACAGATCCCATATAATGGGCTTTTTGTTTTGCTCATGACAATTATTTCAAAAATATTTTTAAAAACTGTTATTTTTAATTTGTGTAACACTATTTTTGCAATTCTCCCATTGTTTAAATGTAGTCAACCACATAGTTTATATGGTTCACAATTGGTGACAATTTTTTTTTTCCAATCTAAAAATGCCCGCAAATTGGATTGTCATGAAAATAACCCCTTATATCGTACTTTATTATGTGATTTGAAAATCTTGTTCACTTTTAATAATTTAGAGGAAAAATGATTAATTATGAACAAACTGAAATTAAAACCACCATTTTAATTTCCCAATCTACAGAATAAAGAGAAAGGTTTATATTTGTATATTTGTGATCAATAAACCTTGCTGTGGTGAAGCTAACATTCTTGGTCTGATCTGCCCTGGTATATTGGGAGTTGTATATGGTTTAGGCATAGGTTGCCCCATCCCTGGAGTCTTAGCCCTAGGGTAGGGTGTGGCCGGCCTGGGGTGTGTACCTCCTGTTGGTCCAATAGTAGCCATCCTAGCATTGACTCGTTGTCTCATATCTAAAAATTGTTAGCAAAGAAGGATCTATATTTTACTTCCAAAAAAATTCCTAATTTTTAAGTGTGCAACTTTGAGCAATGTATGAGTATGACCATATAATGGTACCGTGCTCCGTACCAGTGAAAACTAGAAATATGTCCATAGGACATGAATGCCCCGCCAAGGGTATATTAGTAATGCAACATTTTAACACAAATTGAGAAAAGTGAGGTCAAGGTCAAAGGAAAGGTCAAGGTCAAAAAATATTGCTGCAGTTGAATAGCTTACATCAGTATGTATCAGCATATGACGTTTGATTCAGAAACTAATTTAAGAAAAGTGAGGTCAAGATCAAAGGAAAGGTCAAGATCAAAAAATGTTGATGTAGTTGAAAAGGTTACATCAGTATGTATTAGCATATGAAGTTTGATGAAAATATTATGAATGGTTTCTTTAAAACTGAGCTAAACACTAATTTAAGAAAAGTGAGGTCAAGGTCAAAGGAAAGGTCAAGGTCAAAAAATATTGATGCAGTTGAATAGCTCTCATCAGTATGTATCAGCATATGAAGTTTGACACTAATTTAAGAAAAGTGAGGTCAAGTTCAAAGGAAAGGTCAAGGTCAAAAAATGTTGATGCAGTTGAAAAGGTTACATCAGTATGTATTAGCATATGAAGTTTGATGAAAATATTATGAATGGTTTCTTTAAAACTGAGCTAAACACTAATTTAAGAAAAGTGAGGTCAAGGTCAAAGGAAAGGTCAAGGTCAAAAAATATTGATGCAGTTGAATAGCTCTCATCAGTATGTATCAGCATATGAAGTTTGACACTAATTTAAGAAAAGTGAGGTCAAGGTCAAAGGAAAGGTCAAGGTCAAAAAATGTTGATGCAGTTGAATAGCTCTCATCAGTATGTATCAGCATATGAAGTTTGATAACACTATCTTGAATGGTATCTTTAAAACTGAGCTAAAAACTTATTTAAGAAAAGTGAGGTCAAGGTCAAAGGAAAGGTCAAGGTAAAAAATATTGATGCAGTTGAATAGCTCTCATCAGTATGTATCAGCATATGAAGTTTGTTAAAAATATCTTGAATGGTTTCATTAAAACAGAGCTAAACATTAATTTAAGAAAAGTGAGGTCAAGGTCAAAATAAAGGTCAAGGTCAAAAAAATGTTGATGCAATTGAATAGCTTACATCCGTATGTATCAACATATGAAGTTTGATTACACTATCTTGAATGGTATCTTTAAAACTGAGCTAAACACTAATTTAAGAAATGTGAGGTCAAGGTCAAAGGAAAGGTCAAGGTCAAAAAATGTTGATGCAGTTGCATAGCCCTCATCAATATCTATCAGCATATGAAGTTTGATAAAAATATCTTGGATAGTTTCTTTGAAACTGAGCTTTGAACAGAGCTAAACGCAAAGTGTGACGGAAGGACAGACGGAAGGACGGAAGGACAGAAGGACAGAAGACGGACATGACAAACACTATATGCCCCGGCCATATTCATGGCGGGGCATAACAAACTAGCCAAGAAAAAGTCAATCCATTCAACCATTTCATGATATATTATTTTCAAAGTTGCTGATGTGCATAAACATAATAATTTCTGCTGTTTAAGACCATATAATGGTACCATGCTCCATACCAGCGAAAACAAACAAGCAAGAAAAAGTCAATCCATTCAATCTTTTGAAGATATATTATTTTCAAAGTTGCTGATGTGTATAAACATAATAACTTCTGCTGTTTATGAATAAAAACTCATCATCATTCTAAAAATAAGCAAGTTGAATTTGTATCTACGATGAACAGTAACAGTACAAAAACGCATTTCACTTTGTAAATGTATGCCTGGGGGAATCTAAATAAACAGATATCTTACACTTGAAAAGAGATTTTTCTTTTTTAGATACCGTGTAAGCAGAATTTTTAGCAAGTTTCCAATTTTGGCATTATTAGTGTGGGTTCTGAGATCACTAAAATTGAACATCGCTAACATTTATTCTGTATTGGTACACTTTCTTGACATTATAAAATTGCTAAAATTATTTCTCGCTAATAATATATACCAATTTTTGGAATAAATCACTAAATTTGAGTCTCGCTAAAAATTCCACTTATACTGTATTATATACTGCACATTGCATTGATTATGTATTTACCTGACCCAGGCGAAGGAAGTTTAGGGGTTGATGGTGCAGGTGTCTGAAAAAGTAGAGCATATTAATAAATGTACAGGTATCTGAAAGACAGGAAATTCTTAATGAACAGGTGTCTGAAATTGTGTCAAGTTAATAAATTACCTGCATTTCTTTAAATCTCTCAGGATCAAATCTCTCTAAGATTTCTTTGGCTTTTTTATAGGTTTCTGTTTCCATTACATCTTCTAACTGCAAAATAATATCAACAGGATCAAAATGAATGTATCAAATCTACTGGAATCCTATATTTAAATGTGCAAAGTTACTGATAAATAAACATTTTAACTACAGTTATGATTTTATTATTTCTCTTACAATACATGATACTGTACATGTACCTAAACTGATGTATTCAAAATTTAGTGCAATTGCTGGGTATGGAGTTGTTGGCAAAATCATGAATTTGAGCTATACATTTCCGTGCCGTATGTTGTATTTATATATAATTTCTCAGCGGTATTACGAATTAGCGTATCGTTGTCTGCGCCAAAGCCGCTAAAATATGAAGCTCGCTTCTTAAGTTCACATACAGTAATATCAAAAAGCTATTAATTTTTTCCCTAATGATTATCTAGTGATTGGGAAGGGCTTGCACCATGCAGTAAAGTTGCATTAAAGCAAAAAATTGGTGCAATAAATTAACCATTAGCAGTGCCAAGGTGCTCATTCAATTTATAGCAATGTCTGCTGAAAATACTTTTTGTGTTACTTTCATTTAAATGCAGTCATTTTAATACAACAAATTTCATTGGTTAAAACTGTCAAAAATTACTTCCTTCCTGTTATATGAAGCACTGATTTATTATAGGACAACAAAGGTACGTACATTTCCTCATTCATTTACAATGCTCAATCCAAATGTTGACATTACTGATCCAAAAATATGGGGAGGGGGGGATCATTTTGTATGTGGAATCTCAAAGACCATGGGTATGTCGAAGTGATTTTAAAGTCCCAAACACTTATTTCTCAAATATTTAACCCACGGATATCTTGAATCCTTGGACATCTCGAAGTACTCTCTCGGTCCCATCAATTTAGAGATAACAAAGTTTGATTATATTTAATAAAAACGTGTTTTCTTGCATATTTCAATTTTGTTTCTCATTTTGTTATTTCTTAAACTGACCTTTCAGAATACATAGATGGCCCATTCATTTTCAAAATGGCCCATCAAAATTTTGACAGTTAATTGGGCCATAGTCCCATTGACCTTCATGTTTATTCCAATCACTGTCTCTATACATCTAATTTAAGCTTACTAAAGGATATCTATAACACCCCTGTCCAGTTTTGAAATGAATTCAGTTCCTGCTTATAATATTATCTGTACCTCTTAAGGATGCTCTTAACACTGTTCACTGAAGAGTTCTAATTCAATGGTATTTTTATGCAGTAAGAGTGATTGGCCCTTTGATATAAAATGGAATAAATGAAAATCTCAATTTGAGATGAATTAAATTATTTTTAACATTACATTCAACAGAGATAAAGTAAAGTAAACAATTTTTGTTCATAAAATACTTGTCTTTGAAAATTTTTCCTGAAAATTTTTTTTGAAAATGAACTACATAAACTTAATATATATATATTTTCCTGTATTTTTTCAAAGTTACAAAAAATTTCATTAGTGTTTAGAGCTTCCTTAAATCAGAAATCACATCAATTAAATTTTAAGAATACCTTAGTTCAGATGTATAAAGCAGGAAATTTTAGTTCAGTAAACTTTCATATACCGGTAGTAAAATCACATTTATGCTGTTGACTTTAAATTCATAGAGACAACAGCAAAATATTATTCTCACTTTTTAACATGTTAGTTATACAAATTCTATACTTACAATTTTCTTTTTCTTTTCTTTCAAATCTTGTAAAGCTAAATCTGTATAAAATAAATAGATAAGTTATTCTTTTTTAAGACTAAAATGTATTTCATTTCATAAAATGTAATCCCATGTTTTTACTTTTACAGACCCTGAAACGTGCTACTACCCCAAAAAAGCGTGTGACAGCGTTTCATGTAAACCGTGCAGCGTTTCGTGCAAATCGTGTAGCGTTTCGTGTAAGCTCCAAAGCGTTTCGTGCAAACCGTGTAGTGAGCGTGCGAGAAGCGTGTGAGAAACGTGCGACTTTCGTGTAAGAACTGTGTGAAAAACGTGTGACTTTCGTGCAAGAATCGTGTGAGAAGCGTGTAGGAATCATTCGGAAGTAACTTTATTTCAAATATGGCTATTGATGGAACAACATGTCATTCTGTGTTGTTTGTAACCTATATTATTTGGATCTATCATACTGGTGGTATTTTAAAAGAGAATTAAAAAAAAAAATACGGAAACAACAAAATAAAATTACTCGGTAATGTATTGCATATTTGATTGATTTTCTTTCTTTTTTATTTAAATAGAGATGGAAAGAAAATGTGTTCAAAGTAATTAATTATATGAAAATGAATTTTAAGGTATTTGATTCAATACATGTTTATAGGGAGCAATACTGAACATTTTTTTTTAAAGAAAATTCATCAGGAATTCTTTTCATTCATGAATTTGAATATCTTCACCATTTTACAATTATTGTATATAGAGATTACAAGAACATATGGGTGATTAATACAAAATAATAGATATTAGATAAGACAGGCATGAAAAATAAAATACAAAATTTAGTGCGTTGAATAAATGTGAAGTATGGGAATTTTGGGCCGGGGAGCACAATTAATTTTTTTTCTTTATAAACGAACATAATTTTCTCACAAATAATTTTGAAACGATGAGTCATTTATAGTCTTTTTATGCATAAAAATTGGTTGATTAATAATTGTCATATAAATGAATTATAACTCACATGCATCGGCAAATACAGGTTTAAATATTTCGGGGTGGGGGGGGGGTTCAAATGAAAACTCACAAACTTTGAGTGTTCATTGTAAACAAGTTTTTATTGGTAATTTTCTTTTTAAAGAAAAGTGTTGCTTTTTTCGGGGTGCGCCCGATGCACCCCTTACCCTTAAAATATTTTGGAATCTTCTTGACACTTCCAACACTCTTCTTACGACTGTGATCAAGGTTATTTACAACAGTGATCAAGGCCTCCGCGTGCCGGGAACTGAAAACATTTTCTGCTACATGTATTAGCTCTTGTCAATCATGGCTAAGATGACAACCAACAATAACGATTGATTTTTTATTCGTGAAATTAAATTGTTTTATTAGTATTCAATGGGTACAAATAAATACCCATGGATTTTATTTTTTAAATTTATCCAATTATCATTAAACAGTGAATTAATTTGCCAGTCTATTCGTGAATAAAAAAATTATAAAGAAATAAATCCTGAATAATTATATAGTAGTTGTTTTATTAATCATGCAGTTCTTGAGCATAATTTTTAGCTTTCATTGGTCATGTATACATCTATATTGAATGTATTGTTAAGAGCCGCAACTATTGATTACATTTTTTTTTGTCTAGACGGGGTTTGAGATCAAGGATTTTTACAAGGTGGTGGGTATATTGTTTTTATTTGATAAACACAATGCCTCAAAAGAGAACTGAAGAATTACAACCCCCCCCCCCCCCGACTTCTCTACCATATTAAATTTAAATGATAAATCAAAGTTTAATTCTGTAATGAAACGATATATTTACCATCGTGAACAAAGTGCATTTAATGAATTACACGTATCGGGTCCAGCTGTAGATATGGATATCCTTTTTTTTTCTAAAGAATGGGCATTTGTTTCTATATTTATATATTTATTTATATTTAGCCATGTACAGAAGTAAGATCTCCATAATCTACCCCCCCCCTTTCCTGCATAATGTTCTTGTGTGATGCAGTGCACATATTACCTTAAAGTTTGCAAATTATAAACAGATCCTAATTTAATCAAATGAAATCATTTATTTACTAAATAAAAAATATGAATAAATCAATCAATAATAAAATTAAAAAAAGAAAGGAAAAGATAATCAATCCGTTTACAGAAATCATACGCAATTTAATCATTTTTTTTTCCACACCAATAACTGAGTTTATTTATCAGTAATAAAACGACTTTTTAATGTCAAACTAAAATTGTAAAATCATTGAATGCTGTAAAAGATTTTGAATTGCAAATATAATTATTGTGTCAGTGCATAATTTAGAGTCTAGTGAAAAAGATTTGTACATGGACGATGATAGGCATTTCACTGGGCGGGTCACATTCTCAATGACAACTATTAATTAATTACAAGTGAACATTGAGTATTTTATCTATGAATATAGTACTGATGTAGCGAGTTTTACTCTTAACTTAATCTGAATGATTGCAATTCTTAACTAATCTTTGATTAATCCGTGATAATTTAGATAAAGTCCGAGAGATTCCGAATAGAAAATCCAGATCGAGGCCAAAGCGTGTGAGAATCATGTACAAAGTGTGTGAGAAATGTGTACAAAGCGTTTCGTGCACCCTTTCGTGCAAAGTGTTTCGCGTAAACCATGTAGGGTTTCATGTTAACCGTGTAGCGTTTCGTGTAAACCGTGCAGCATTTCCTGCAAGCCGTGTAGCGAGCGTGTACCGTTCGTGCAGCGTGCGTGTGGGGTAGTAGCACGTTTCAGGGTCTGTATATCTATGAGGGAAAAAAAACTTGTTGCTAATTTTTGGAACTACCCACCATTTTTAGCTATCCTTTTTACAAAGAACCAGTGCAGAAATTTTCTAATCAACCACACACTGTAAAAAAAGAAAAACTTATAAAAGCACCACCATCAATAATTTCTGTTCCAGTCATGCTAGAAGGGAGAAGTACCAAATCTTATTTATTGTCAAAATTTGTATCATACAATAATTCATTTCACTTCCTATTTATCATGATTTATACCAAAATTTAATTTTATGAGTAAATTTTTCTAGATTGAAGAGAAGTCAAAAAATGAAAAAAATAACAAAAGATGACTGTTAACTGAACAAATTCAATGGATGAAAATAATTAGCTACAAGTAAAATCTTCACAAATAAAATTTATCAGATGTAAAGCATGTCAAATGTTGCACTGTTTATAAGAATGATTAAACAAGGCACATATACTTTGAAGAGACAGAACTGTACACCTCTTATCTCACCTACTGACAAAGAAATAAAAATCCCCTTTCATACTCACAGCACTGGAAAGATAAGAAGAGGTGAAGAGTATAGAAGCCTGTCCCTCCAGTTATTTGGGAAGAAGTAAAAATAGAAAATAACGGAGGCCACTATATACATTAGTATGGAATACAGCATCAACTTGGTGATAAAGCTCTTCTGTTTCTGAAGGTTATCGCGACGGAACTTCTGCAATGTCTCAATTTCCTGCAAAAATTACAGTACTGCTTGTTATTAGACAATCAAGGTATCCTATGCTATACATCCTATCCCTTGAAAAAGTGGGGCAGAAAAAATAAATTTATATTTTTCCCCATGTATTTTTAAACTGTGAGTCCTGTATCATATTTGCATTTTTATCAGTATTTCAGGGAAACCAGAAGTCTCTGACAAGACTGTAACTCTACTGGTTTGTACTTATAACAAAGGAGGAGAAAAGTAGTGATTCAAATGATCAATGACAACACCAATACCGTTAAATAGAATTACAATACATTGGTTACTTTCTCTGTGGCAAGTTTTATTGAAATTGCACTAAAACTGTTGGAGGAGTAGCCTTTTGCAACAATATTTGGCAAAATCAGAAACCAAATATATATAGAATTATACATATCTTAGTGTAGTCTACTTGTGTACTACGTTTTATTGAAAGCATACCAAAACTGTTGAGGATTAGCTTTTATGAAGAATTGCACAGAAATTTCTATTTTTGGTATCCATGGCAACTTTGTTGATCCGGAATTCAAAAACCATTATTAAGAATTACAATGTATATATCTTAGGGTGGGGTACCTGTGTACCTAGTTTTATTGAAATGATACCAAAACTGTATAAGCTAGGTGTATATAGAGTTTTGAAAAATTGTTTACAGACAGACAATTGGCTGACACCTTACCATCGTATAAGCTCTCCTAGTCTATAATCAGTAGAGTTTACCATAAATAACATTAATAATCAGATACAAATATGGAATTTCTACACTAAAAATATTTTATTTTGAACCTTCAAGTAAACGATAATCTTTCTAATGCACGTCTACATTAAATAAATGATGATTTTGAAGTTTTGTTAACAGACATGCACACTTAGATATTCCAGTGACAAATTTCTATTTGCTAGACATTTTCCATCCCTTGGCTACTCTTTGGGGAATAGATAATGAGGTCATTTCAGGTTTTTCTATGTTTATAGCGTCCCAATGAACCTTGGTTTTCAACACTGCAGATCAGAAAAAAACCCATACAAAATCAGAAGTCCAGACATTGATTATTTTGGTTAAAACCAGCTGTTAAATTCTGTCAATTTCTTTCTATTCTTGCTGTTGATCTATCAAATCTGGTATATAATAATTAGCATGTAATATCTTCATTTTTCACAAGAATATGTATTTCTATGAGAAAGTTATAATTATGAAACCAAATCCACTGAAACATTGTTTTTTATGAATATAAAGTGTGTTTTTTTTGGCTTGTGAGTTTCTTGTGAATAGTTAGGTAGGTTTTTTTAAATGAAAGGTGGACGCTAAACATAAAAAACTTTGAATGGCCTAAGTGTATCACATAGTAACCCCGTGCTTTCACAATCTGGCAGCAATTCATTTTCTTTTTTGTGGAAAGCAAAATCAGAACACATCTTCTAACGCATAGGAATTAAGATGTTTTAATGTATAACTGTACAAAACATGATAAAAGTACATCAGAATATTACATAGACAACTTGGATACAGAACTAGACAAGCCTTAAACAAGTAACATAACGAAACCATTAATCATAGTGCAAATGCCAATTACAAGTAACACCAAAATTAAGCTCTTCTTTCCAAATGCTTAAAAAAAAAAACATCCTTTCTCCAATAAGACCAATTATTTTCTCTGTTCCATCTCCAATATTTAATATTTTCTTTAAAGCATCCTATACTTACTGAATATACACGAATACTGATTCTTTGAATGTACAATTATGCATTATAAATCAAGTGATCAATGAAGAGCAATTCTAATAAATTACACAGAACATGGAAAATACTTTGTACCATTTATATACCTCCCCCCCCCCCTCCCCCCCAAAAAAATGGTGCAGAAAAGTTTACATTATACTCTGTCTTCTACATTTATGCAGAGTTTAAATTTATATTATACCCAAAAAAAATATAATAAATAAAAAAAAATTGGTACAGTAAAGTTTACATGATTCAACATGAATTAGTTTCAGCAAGACATTAACAAAGAAATGACTTTTCAAACATATGAGGAATTTAAGAAAAATTTTGATGAAAAGAGGTAAGTAATTTCAAAGTTTAACATTTTTGAATATGAATGTTTTTAGTTGTGTAAAGCACATGGGTTGGTTAATCTGATTTTAATGGGCTACATGTAGTAACTATTCTCCACTACTAGCTTGACTGGGCTAATGCTAAAAAAAAGTTCTTCAAACACAATTGTCTTACCTTTTCCAAACTCTCTAAAACTTCAAAGGTTGTTGGTTTCTTCTGAAAAAAATGTACAAGACGATTGATTATTATTAACGAAACAAAAGCAAAACGTGAAGCCCATGGGCAATAATGCTCACCTTAGTCACATTTGCTATGTTATCATCAGATTAATTGAGATTTATTTATTTCAGTCTGAATAAGATGTGGAATTAAACTTGGAAAAAATATAATTTATCATTAATGATGATAATTTATGCTACATAATTTTAAAATGTCCTTGAAAAACATGCACACACAACAGGCACTTGTTCTGTAATAGATTTTTTATCCAGTAGTAAAGTAATAACACTAAGAACTTTTTTTTCAAAGATCCATTGCCAAAAAATCATTTGTTAGTGCATGAATGTAAAGAAACTTAGGGTCAACTCTTAACCAGACACAAGGCAGAGTCTTGGTTTCAATTTGATGCATTGAGTTCGAGTTGACTAGGCTACGAGTTGGTCAGGTTACAAGTTGACCTGATACCTATTATTATACTATTGGGTAAAAAAATTTATTACAGTGTGGCGGTCAGACGGGTTTTGCTCGATGGTAGCTAGATAGCTCAGTTGGTAGAGCACCTGACTGGAGATTCAGGGGGCCCGGGTTTGAATTCCAGTCTGGTGTGTCGCATTTTCTCCTCTCCCATTACATTTGGTACCGTGACCAGGATGTGACAGGTGAAAGAACTGCCAGGGAAGAGTCTGAGTTTGTGTCTTCGGGGGCAAAGACCTTTAAGGAGGCAGGAATATGGCGGTCAGATGGGTTCGATCACCGGTAGCCGGATAGCTCAGTTGGTAGAGCACCTGACTGGAGATTCAGGGGGCCCGGGTTTGAATTCCAGTCTGGTGTGTCGCATTTTCTACTCTCCCATTACATTTGGTACCGTGACCAGGATGTGACAGGTGAAAGAACTGCCAAGGAAGAGTCTGAGTTTGTGTCTTCGGGGGCAAAGACCTTTAAGGAGGCAGGAATATGGCGGTCAGATGAGTTCGATCACCGGTATGAGATAGCTCAGTTGGTAGAGCACCTGACTGGAGATTCAGGGGGCCCGGGTTCGAATCCTGGTCCGGTCCATCGCATTTTTCTCCTTTCCGTTACAACAGAAACAAATACTTATGATCCATGCTGTGACTGTGAATTGCCAATCTCCTTTTTTGTCGCTGAATGTTTTTTACATATCAAAAAATTGCGCCAACAGCTTATGGTCCTCCCTCATCCAGGTGTTCAAATACTTTGCTACCCATACCACCAGAAGTAAAGTTTAAATAAAACTACTAAAAGACATCCACTACAGCACAATTGCAAAATATTCTCTTGTGTTTCTGTGTAACCAAAAAATCAATTATGTACATAATTTTAAGATTGCAAATCTGTGACTTGGTTTAGTCAGCAGACAACAGCCTGTGATAAAATGACTTAAACAACCCATATTAACAACCAACACGAAACACAAGATAATATCTAACAAGTAAAACACATACACGGAATCTTGATATTAGTGAACCCATGTTGATCAGCGATCAGTCCACCCTTGTCTCCAAATTTCATAGAACACGTCAACTCTAAACGAGTTCACCGCCAACTGGAAGTTGTTCACGCTTCCGATTACAGTGCCCTCTGTAAACAAGGATGTTAATATTTCTGCGCCTCTGATTGGATAGAGAATATCAAATATTCAGATTAGCCATGTGTGAACTACAGATACGCAATACCAAAAGGTAAACAGTCACCTCACAAAATTTAGAACTACTATCAAAATCTGTAAAATAAAACACACAAAAATGTACAAAATTGCAAATATTTACAAGAGTGACTGGGACCTTTTTTTCAAACGAGCAATAGGATATAAATTTTCATATCTAGACAATACGTAACGTTACCCAATCCATTTTGTCTTGAAAAGAAATATTGCACATTCCAAAATTAATTTATATACATAAGAAGAAAATTGCACTAATAAACAATGAAATCCACACGTATAAAAGGAGAGGGATTAATTGGAATTGTGTATGAGTTTCAATTATTATCGGCTTGGTGTAAAATGCAGAGGATGGCTCCAAATTAAAATGGAGTGTCACAGGGTGCAAGGGATGGAGCTTCCTATTTAAGCTAAAGAGATATCTCTCTAAGCTAAAGAGATATCTCTCTTATTGAAAGAAATTGAAAGAAAATTTTTATTTTCTTTCGAATAAATAGTAAACAGTGGTAAAAGGGCTTGCCATATAAATATCCTTTTAATCGGCCACAGTCATACTTTAAAGTTTCTCTTTTCAATAGGGATAATGTCATTAAGACTGAAGAAATATCTCTATGATAGAAAGTTATCTCCACAGACATATTAAAAGATATATCATTACATTTAAAAGGATAAATAATAGGGAGATTGATCTCTTGCTTTTCGAAGAAGGATATATCCATAGATATATATGTCTGGATGTATACAGTAGGTCAGTATTATGAGTCCCTACATTATGGTATCATCAAAATTGTGCTGAATTCTATTGTTTAATAATGCATTTGTTGTAACTTTCAAAGTTTTCAAAGAAAATCTGTTGAAATCTTAATTTTTCAGATTATACAGTTGCACGGAAAACATATGTATGCACGTATACTGAATTCTTCCAGAAATTATTCTTTGGAAAATTAATTAAGTTTATTTTTCAGTAAACAAATATTGCCTAATTTGTTTGAAGATTGTAGGGAATGGGAAATGAAATTCGTAGGCCGGATGGGGCAACAAAAGAGAATATGGGAGCCTCTTGGAGGTGACTATGATTTTTATCATTGTGACGTAACAATAAATTTAAGTAACTATGACGTCATTATATGATTTCCATGAGAAGCATTCTTCACGAACTGTTTTTCAAGCATTGAATCATGGCTTTCTTTGTCTTCAACTGGACTAAAAGGACATACATCCTTGCAGTTTTGTCTTTAGTGCTGTTGGTTATAACGGCCAAACACAAAGAATACTTCTGTTGGTAAGTAAAACATACTGGGATGGGGATGGGGGGATAGGCATTCTCAAATGACTATATATAGTAACAAAGAAACGTATATTTTTATATGATATTTAAGATGGGGAGTGCCTTTGAATTGAGTACTTCTTAGTATATTTCATTACATTCTATGGCAATTATTTTTTTCTTTCTTTCAAATATTGTAAGCTGTATTCATACTTATAAAATGAATCGTTATCATTGATATATGTAGTGAGGAAAAGCCGCTGAGTAGTTTTGAGAAGTTTGAAGTTTGGCTTGGTTTTATGGAGAAACCCAAACCTTGTCCAGGAAAGGAAGACCTCTACACTGTGAGTATAAGATTTACAATAAAAGTACAACTCTTTAGCTTTTAAGCTTACACTAATCTAAATCATTTATTCGACACCATAAGTAATATATATGAATAATAAACTAAAAGGTAATGACCGGTTGGATGAATTGATTCTGATAAGAGTTCGAATCTTTTATTTTCGAAAGCTTACATTACACATATCATCCCAGAGACAAGTAATGTAATGTTTCGATCAGAAATATTACTTATATGGTCAAAATGTTATTTGTCACTATGATCAACAGAAATACTGTGCTTGGATGGAAGTTCTTGGAGAATGCCTTAATAAACGGTCAATTTACATTTTATCCTGGAACTAAATTCCCCCTACTTTTAATAGATGGCGGTAGAGATGGGCATTTCAGCTGCAGCTGTACTAGCCAGTGCTACCATATACAAGGTGTGGGACTGGTCCAAATCCCTAATGGGTCGGACAATTCAGATCATAAAGGGAGGATTCAAGTACCTAAAAGGTATCAAGATAATTGAAGTCTTTTTCTTTTTAATTTAATTTACAATGTATATACACTTGTAATAAATAATGATATTGTTCTTGTTTACTGAAGACCGTGTTCCATTCGGAAAATCTACCAAGAACCCTCCTCAAGAGGATCCCCCAAAGTACAAGTATTTCTTGTGAGTATACCCAAATATGGTCTTATATCAGATTAACTTTATGATATTTACCAGAAATGGTGCAATTGTAATTTCATTTCTCCTTTGTAGCTTCCGTAACGCCTATGAACAGCGTAAAATTATAATGGTTATGAGGGAGGGCGATGTCTATGAAGAGATATTTGTGTACTCCCCCGAAAAGAAGAAAATGGAGTGCGTGTTGTCCTACCGCAAAGGGTCTCGTTAAATAGTGTCCATCCTCCTGGTCCTTGATGCGGAAAACCATAAAATTTTCAACTGAGAGGTCAATAAGAGTGTTGATAAATGTAGAAAAGTATTTTGATTCACTTCATTCATGAATTTAGATAATATTATGTGATGAATTATCATGATTTTTCAAATATCAAATGAATTTTCATGTACATTTTGATATTGGTTTTGTGTGTTTAAGGCTTTCTAGTGAAGAATAAATTCAAAATACTTGAATTTTTGAAGAATAAATATTATATTATATGAATGTAGATTTCTTTTCCTTTTTACGATCTCTTTTGAGATATTATGTGTGTCGAAATTCGCTTCTTAAAGATTGTCTTTCAATTCTTGATTGTTTTGATGATCATAGACTTCCGTTGTTGTCTTGTTCCTATAATAACTGTATGATAATATAAATTAATATTGATATTATTAAATCACTTTCAACTTGTTTAACCAATTGAATCAAAAATTACATCATTCTGAATATAGAACCTGATGCATGTGGATTGTTACAAAACTTTGTTCGACATGTCGAACAAAACATAATGGAAAAAAAAGTTTTATAGCTATCTCTTTTCTCCTTTAAGATCATAAATACACATATGCAGTCTTTTTTTCAAATCTTGAGAAAATGACGTGTAGTTTACAGCTAGCTTTTAACCTTATATGGAATATCTGTGAGGGTCATTCAATAAGTAATGCAAATTGCGATCCAAGAATAAACAAAGTACATGAAGAAGTTTCTATATATTTTTAATCCCTCAAAGTATTTACACATGTCTTAAAAGTCTTAGTACCCATGATCAGACCACATCAGCATACTGTTCTTGGGGTAGCTCTCCATGACATACCCAAAACTGAATAAAAAAGATATCCAAATGACTGAAAACTAGAGAATACTGAGGATGACTAAGCTCTGTAAATCTTTTCATCAAAATATCCTTTACATCTCATGCTTATTTGCAGCAGCATTGTCAGACACAAGAAAATTAACCCGGGGACCGGTATTTGGACTTCCCTCACAGAAAACCTGCTGAACTTTTCTCAATGCAATTTGAACATAAAAACTATCATCAATGGTTCTTTCTTTGGGTGTATAGGTTCATGCATTACCGGACCTCTCGATTAAAAAGAAAACCTGTACAAAACGTATATGAGGCTCTACCTTCTCTTTGCAATAATAAGACGACACCTTTCTCTCTGATTCCACTTTTATTGTTTGTTCTTCCTTTTTGGCTATAAAAAGTGACTCATGTTTTGACACCTATTATCCAAGTTTATCATGCCTTCTTTTGAAATAATGTTTATTTTCAACAGACCATTGGCACATTTACCTCATGTTTTCTCGCGCAAATGTAAGGAGATAAGGCACCCATGTGATATAGAAATTATTTTTAAATTCATATTTCTTTTGTAAGAATTCTATAAACTGTGAAGATGAATTGTTTAGCAATATTTTTCACTGTAAATCTGGCATTTATAGATATCATGTTGCTCACAGCATCAGCATTTTTTTGGTGTCTATACAGATTTTGATCGACTAATTCAACTGCGATCTTTTGACACTTCTTTTTCAATTTTGGATTTCTTAATCCATATGAACACTGTACAGTTTAACAGTTTTCAGCTCAGTGTAGTGACAATGCTTACTTTAAAAGTGAATTTCTTTACCAAGACTGTAGAAAAAGCATGCGATTTTCGGTGATTACGAGTTCTTAAATAGAATATCTAGACTAGCTGTGAAAAAATACAATAAAGTGCTTGATAAACAGTACATGTATATTGCATTACTTATAGAAACACCCTCTCCTCTTTGAAATAAGAGTTTAAGAGAGATATCTGGCTTTTCAGAGACAGATATCTGTAAATATTAAGAGATATCTTTTCAAATAAATACTTTTCTTTAGAATGAAATAAAGATCTCTTAATTTTGAATAAAAAAAAACATGTTTACAAGAATGATAGATTGATTGTATGCTGTCGAGAATTTTTTTCCCGATCAAGAAGCGAAAGCCCTACCATTTTATGCTAACGTGACCGATCAGCTTAGAAGAAAATGACAAAATACAAGCCGCTTTCTGTTTTTATTTTATTTTATTTATTTTTTTTTTTACACACAAGTAGTGTCTTTCTCAAATTTACAAATGTAAATTAGTGAAAGACAGTAGAAATGTAGTTGTATATGCAGATTGTAGAATGCATCGTTGCAAAAGTACATGTACATGTACCATGTTTTACAGCAAAAACTGTCAATACTGGTGTTGAAATGCTTGCAGATGTTGAAATGGATTTAGGTGTTTGCTTATATGAAGATGAGAAACAAATTCAGTTATGTTCCGATCGTCGGGCCCATATTCAGATTAATGGCCCTTAATTGAATTGTGATTTTTTAAATCTCGTCGGTGGGTTGGACATTTTTATTGTATAAAACATCCTATTTTTGCAATTTTGTCAAGTAATTAGCTTAGATAAGAATTATGTTGGATTAATTTACATGTGTAGAGGGATTTTGAAGAGAAACACATAACTTTTCTAAAATCGCATTTGATGAAAAAAAGAAGGATTTTCAGTCTGAAGTCACAAAAGCAAATGTCTTAGGAAAATTAAATCCTTTTACAGTTAGACAGGTACTCTTGTCGAAATATTGACGCCGTGAGATTTCAGACTTTATTTCCTACGATTTTCTCATGTTTTCAAATTCATTTTTAAAAAAAAGAAAGTAATTTTTCCTTCCTGTTCAAAACTATTGTAAAATCTCAATCATGCGTTTAATTGCGCAGAAGTAAAGACATAAAATTTGAATTCAACCTCACAGAACTGTTTTTCTCGGATGTAATAATGCAGCTGTGGACCATCTTTCCCATTGTTTTTCTTACTGTCTGTTCATCTGGTAAGTGCGAAAGTCTCATCAAGTTTTAATGGACAGTTTTTGTTCTCCGTATTATCAGGTTGTAGATGTGTTGTTAATTTTGATTCATCCTCACCCAGTTAATTTAAAATTTAATTTACGACATGGTAGTATTATTATATGCACTTTGTGCATTTAATTAGTTTAGGAATAATAAGGTACTCTGAGCACTGAGCTTACAAAATGATACCCCCCGCTCTCATATGAGTATAATGGCAAAGTCCTTTTTTGCTATGGGAAAGCACAGATATCTTTCCAATCCAAACATAAAGTAGGTGGTGAACAATGGCACTATGTAATAAAGATTCTGTGAAAGTATCATTCAATTTTATTCAGTGATATAGGAGGAGTTGAGGATAAGAAATGGGTACCCTTGATATTATAGTAAGAATGGCAGTGTCCATGTTTTGCTATGGGAAACCTGAAATATGTGTCAAATCAAAAAAGTAAAATAAGAGATGCGGGTACCCCTGATTTTATAAACAGAATGGCAGTGTCCATGTTTTGCTATGGGAAACCCGAAATATTTGTCGAATCAAAAAGTTAAAAGGTCACAATGACACTATGTAATAAGTTTCTGTCAAAGTATCATTAAATTTTAATGATACATCCTCATTTTAAAGCAAAGAATTGGACTTTGCCATTATACTCATATGGGAGTGGGGGAGGGGGGTCATTTTATGAGCTCAGTGCTCATAGTACCGTTAGTTTTAATCTGTATTGGTTTTATAGGGTTTGCTTTTCATTAATGCCTCCATTTCTATATCTGTCATTGTTAAACACAACATTTTAATGAAATTCACAGGTTGGGCATTTTTGGATACATAATCTGAAACAATTCAGCATATTATTGGCTAAGAAGGAATCATATTTTTGGTCATTTTTCCCCTATCGAAATATCTGCAAATTAAATAAGGGACCGTATTACTTAAATATATTCTAATTATTTTTTTTTTAGGTTCCGATTTCTCAATTGATAACTACTTTTTCCTTGGAACTTTTCAAAGTCTAATCCTTGAGAAAGATGCAGAACATGTTTGTAGTTCACACTCTTCTTCTCTGGTCATAGCAACTGTCAGCAGATCAACTTCATGGAATAAAAATCTTTTTTTCAACAACAGTATCCCGTTTTGGGTAAAAGGCAAGCTGTATGATACACTTATATGTGTAATGAAATATATCTGTATAACATATTCTATCCAATCAATGATACTTCAAATTCTTTACGATTGAAGAGGAATAGGAAGTACCGAAATGCTCTGATTAAGCAGAATCATTCTTCTTTGTAGATTCAGATGGGAAGATGACATGTGCAACTCGGGAAAACGGTATACTACCACCTAGGTATTCTTGTCCTAAAGAAATTGACTATGTCCTCTGTATGGAAGAGAATTCGATACGTAATACATGTACAAGTAAGTTTTTGCGGAATGTTGTTCACGCATTGAATATAAATTTATATATGAATATGAGAAAGAATAATTCATTTAATGTGTGTATATTTATAAAATAAAAAGTACACCTGTATCAATTTTTCTTAACAAGAACTGTAAATCATATACTCGATATATAGTGATAAAGTTTTTAATTGATACAAGTTTAAAATTAACTATTTGTTCAATAACATATCTTCAAAGAATAAAAATTTATGTACTTTTATGATTACAATTTAGTATATTTTTATGATAAACTCTTTGTTATTGGTAATACCTATAGGTTTCTATTGTGTTATCTTCATCACATTAATTTACAAACAATGTATATGCCCGTCTCGGTAATTTGTCAATAAAATCTATGTTTCTGGTAAACCTACCCTAAATTTGTAACAAAAATCCATCGTAGATTTCATAGGGAGTCAGGACACTCTCAAAGTACCAGTGGTTGTGACGCTAATTGTAACACCTTTAGCTATTTTGCTGACTATCGCAGTGATTGTATACATCTGAAGACGAAGGTTGGTCGTTTCTTACTATTTCCTCTTTGGTGTGAATAGAAAGAACTGATTGTAATTTTTTACCGAAAACTTTCGGTATCATATTCTTTTCTTACAAAAAAGCTTTAGAGACCAAAGGATTTGTATTTTTGCAGACGAAAAATGAAACCTAAGACACCAGAGAAGAGTAATTCTGATACAAATTCCGCTATTGTAAGAAATAATGATGAAAGGAAAAGAAATATAGGTGAACGATACACAGAAAAAGAAGTCAAAAATGTGGACTGTGTCCCAGTTTACGTTGGTAGTGAAGGTCAATATGACCATTTGCATTTGAAGAGAACTCATAAAGTGCAAATTGATAAGCACGCGAACCACTACACAGGCATAGACAATCTGTACCAGACAACTTCCGTCACAAATATTCGGCTTCCAGAGAGCGAAGATTTACATAAACAAATTGAGATGTAATTTTAACACTGTTAAACATCGGTTGAAATCCAAAAAATTGTAAAATTTAAATCTTTATTTCATCCTAATAATAAAATAACAAAGAATATGAAAACTGATTTAAATACTCCATGCAATGTTGATATTGTGATATAAATTAAATTGTTGCTCTTTTATATCTATGTGGGATTCGTTTTTTTTTTAAATAACAAAACATTTAGCTTTTTTAAAATATATATAGTTAATTATTTTCGAATTAAGTCTGTGCTGTTTCCGTGATAATGTCTTTGAAAATTCAGTTTTGGTGCTTTTACTCCATACCAGTTTTTTTTTTTAAAATATACTTGTAAATAAATTGTAAAAGTAAATAATAAAGATATTGTTAAAGATCTATAATATAATGATAAAATACTGTAATAAAACACTGACCCCTTATGTTTTCATACTCTAAATCAATCCTCTATGGGAAAAATATGATTGCACAAGTAAATAATTTTAAACTTTGCAGGTAATCAGTAACTAGATCCTTTCTAGACGTACATAATCGTTTCAAACTTGTTCAACTATCTTTTATGTGAAGTTAAAAAATGTCGGTAAATACAGTAAAAGTGCTTTTTCTGCGTATTTATTTACGCTGTGTGTATACGCGGAAATTAGTCACAACATATTTAAAGACATACAATGACAATTAAATATAAATACTAAGTTACTATTATTGCAATACACTTCTATTTAACCAAGTCAGATACTTAATTAGGTCAAGGCTATTCTATGAAAGACTTTTACAATGTAACAAATTCTCAGTACAATAAATATCAAAGCTTAGAAATTGGATATTTCTGGAGTGAATGAGTTTTACAGTGATTTTTTTTAAATGTGTTTTTTGACATTTCAGTTAACAAAGAAACTGACCAAATTTTGTAATATACTCTTAAAGCTGAAGATTTAATATTTACAAATACATATATACCATACTTTAATAACTACATATAGTTACCTTTAATAAGCATAATTTATTATACATAGTATACAAGTAATTAGGGGGAAAGAAATGAAAGAACATTCTAAAATGTAGTTTATTTAAAAATCTTTCCGTAATCACTAAAAACCAATGCTTTCAGAGAAAGGCATGTAAAGGTTAAGTTTTAATATAAGGTTGGTAATCATGGTGTTTTTGAGAAGAACATCGCAATTGTTAAAAATATCACGGCTTTAGCCATCGCGATTTATAAAATATACTGCATATCATTTTTTTTTAAGAAGTGGCTCACTAGTCAGGTTCAAAGTCAATGTTTGAAAATCCTACTATTGAATGTGCTTTTTGACCTCTATTTTAGCAATAAATTGCATGTGTCTAGTTTCTCCCTAAAGCGACAGGATCTGTCTTATGTTACCAGTGCGGGTGCCGGGCAAAGTTGCTATCTATGAAAATCATTGTGTAAATTGTATACTTTAATTAGATGAAGTGAGATAACAAATTCAAAAGTATTTTAATACAGGTAAATTTAACTACATAGTCACTGTTGTGAAAGCCTTTCAAAGAAATATAAAACTTGTTATTTTCAGAAAAGAGCGATATATCTTCCCGTTCAACACAAATAGTGAATTTGAATCATGCGTTTTATGCACACGGAACTTGATTTATTTTGTTAATATAATGATAATTGTTTACCTTGTTTTCAGCATGATGTTTTTATACCCGCACTTTCTAAAGAAAGTTCGGGTATATTGTTGTAATCCTGGTCCGTCTGTCCGTTCGTCTGTCACACTTTCTTCTTCCTAAAACTCCTCTTTTATTTTAAGCAGTAAATCCCTTTACATTTAACGCAGTAGCCTAATCATCTTTTGGAAGATGATTGGTGGTGTCCTGTAGATGTACAATAAGGTTGCGGAATTTCATTTTCACCCTAGGGGTCAAATGGGCATCGAAAACGATTGTTGCTATTTTTAGTATGATCTGGTTCCCAGAACTCCCTTTACATTTTAAGCAGTATTTTGCCATTTTGTGATGCTAGCCTTGGTATCTGAGGCAATAGCTTCTAAAGACAAACTTCAAAGTACACTATACACAAGAAAGCTTGTGTTGATTTGAATACACTGACTCTGCCTTATATTAGTCCAGATTTGGTAAAATTGTCCTAAAGAGGAGAAAAAGAAATTAAGAAAAGTGTCCAATCAGACGGACACAAGACAAATTTCGAAGGAAAAAAAGCTCAGATAAACCTTACACACAGATTACATAAAAGTTTCCTTTCGATAACCATTGTCCGTCAAGGTAGCTCAGTCGGTAGAGCGCTCGTCCCGTGATCGTAAGGTCATGTGTTGGAATCACAGCCACAACTGACCCAAGTCAATAAAAAATAGGTAGCAACTGTTCCTTCGCCAAACGCTCGGCACCTTGAAGTGAAAGTTGCGGGTCTTTCGGATGTGGCCTTAAAAACCAAGGCCCTGTGTCACGGTAGGCATGGCGCGATCACTGCTCAATGGCTCTGAGTGTCGAGTAAAGGTCTGAATTTGAAGCTCTTCACCGGTATATGGTGACGTCTCTATTTGAGTGAAAAATTCTCGAACAGGACGTAAAACAACATAATGTACTATCAATAAATAAATCGATAATCATTATTTCCCAAGTTGACCTCAAGATAAAAGCTGTGACAAACAGACGACTTCAATTAATAGTTCATCCACAAAATTAATGTTGCTCCAATAATTTTAATATTGTATCATTTCTACATAATCAATTAGAAAAGCAATATTATCGCCATGCCAAGTTGGAAGCCAAACATTTCTTTTCTCCCAGAAATCCCTCATGGGGTGTGGGGAGTCGTTGCGCCATGGTTTAGGTGTATCATAGTGTAAATTATCGGGGAAGTACTTTGTTCCACCCACAGCCACATTCAACAGGAGCTGGAACTAGGAATTTAATATTCAAAATAAATTTTTAAAAAAATCTGTGGAATATAAAAGCTTCTTAACATGCATGGTTTCTTTTAGACGATCAATACATCGAGCAAATTGATGTGAAATTACTTATTAACTGCTTCATTGTTCAAGAGAATATCTTGATTTTGCTTATTTTCTTTTTAAAATGAAAAATGTGTTTGTTAGAGATGTTAGATCCTGTGATATGTTAAAAATAAAAAAAAATATTACTGGTTGGTCAAAAGGGGCATTCAGAGAATTTCCCCAGATGTTTGTTCCATTAAAGTGTCCAAACTTCCAGAAACCTTCAGGAGGTGTGTTCACATGTAGTATTTCTTGGTCATCAACCAAGCAACTGTATAAATATATTAAATTAAGCATTCAATTATAGATATAGTCTGATTATTCCCATATTATTTCACAAAAGTAACTTATTCAATACACTATATTCATAACAGGTTCTCCATATTCCTTGTTCATGTAGTATTTTGCTAATTTTGTTATATATACCATATTCTTATAGATACTTTATTAATATGGACAATGACGGTAGATTATTTCTTAAGAAAACTTGAATGTTGTTATGCTCAATACTTTCAATTGGTAATTAAATACTATTAAATCATGATATTTGTATTTTAAATAACTCAATAAAAAATCAACCAGATTTACGCATTTACGCACGAATTTATTTTATAATTTCTTTTTTATAGGAAGTGTATTGCAGCTGGTTAAATATTTACTTACATGACATGTTGTTCTGTCCACTCAAGAGAGAAAACGTGCCATTTATGCCAGTCGCCATGGGTTGACTGTCTAGATAAAAAAGCAAGAGGAAGAATTAGCAAATTATCTAGGATTAATTAATATATAGTTTTATTTTGAGTTACCTATTTGTTGTTCAATAAACCTAAGCTAGAGACATTTCACTTTCTGTTTCTCCAAATTTCTGTTGGTATCTCAAACACTGAAAAGTTCGAAACCAAAGGATACACAGTCATGTATGTTGAATCTCCAGTAATGAGTCTCAATTTTCATATTTAAATTTTCTGATTTTTCGAAATTTTAGTAGTCAAATGTAGATCAAAATAACGAGATTAGATTGTGTCTGAGATTTCCTTACAGAAATAGTCCTTTAAGATCAATTTATAGAATAGACTGATAAGACACATTGATAATGACCGAATAATATTTACAATGGTTTATGAGTTAGTCTTCCCGCACTATGACGAGGGTCGGGTCCCCAATTCAGTGTTGAAGCAATTTGATGAATTCCCCGGTTGATTCCGGTATCTGTATTCATTAGCCTGTTTCCTAAAATAATTATACAAAGGAGAATGATCTTCCTAGAAAAAAATCTTGCAAAGTTCTTTGAAAATACTGGCAACTTTTTCAAAATGCGTCATTAAAAGGGATTAGCTTATGAAAAAAAATTGAAATGTCACGTAATCTTAACCAAACCTCTGGCTTCCATGACGTCAATTTCTCCAGATCGAGGCCAGCTTCCGTACACACTATTTGTTGGCATCAACCAAATGGCTGGAAAATAAGATATTTGTATATACGTCTATTTTGGCTAATTATAATTATATATTGTTAATACTTATAATAATAAACAAATTACAGCGACACCCCAGAGGCGTCGTTTCAATGATACCGGTATCTCTTGAATTAAGTGAATATAATTGGTATCATGTTTGGTAGTAGAGTTTCTTATTGTTGAACTACTACATTGCAGTAAAATTAGTATTACCTGGCCAAAGCCAGTCACCTCTGGGTATTCTAGCTCGAACATTGACCCGTCCATATTTGATTGCGGCATGGGTGTAAATTAGACCGGACATGACGGGATTAAGTATTTCTTGTCCATTACCATAGGCTGCTTTGTGACAACCATGGTGCATTGCTTTTGTACAAGCACCCCACACCGCTAAAAAAGAAGTGGTTATATCAAATGGTGTAATAATAAACCATGTAAGCATGTTGAGTTCAGTGATATTAAAGATTCTTCTTCAATAACATACATGGCCGTAGGAACCGGGGGGGGGGCGTGCCCCCCCCCCCAATAATTTTTCCAAAATATATATTACTATAGGTAACATAGAGCTATGTGCTCTAATAATAACGTCTGATGACCTTTTTTTTTTTTTTTTTTTTTTTTTTTTTTTTTTTGCTTGTCAAGGAATTTTTGAAGTTGATAGTGCCCCCTCAACTAGAAAATGTATGGTTGTGCCCCCTCAAAGTGAAATTGCTTCCTAAGGGCCTGATATAGAAAAATTTTGAACGGCTAATAAGTTAATGTAAATTCGTAGTAAATTGCCGTGTTGTGTTCAGCAAAATAAGAAGAATCAACTGACGCTTTAGTTCAAACAACTTTCCGTTTCCGGCGCTTTCTACAAACTTGTGTATGAAATTATTTCTTTATAGCTCATGTTGTATTTAATCTCGAATTTTCCTTGAAAATGAAACATGAATATAAAAGATATAATACAAACTGAACACGTGCTATCAATTTCATGAAATTTGGTTACATCGACTTTTATAATTAGAAACTAATGCAAATACTAGTACAATAAAATATAATTTTTGTCTCCACAGGATAGTGTTAGTCTATGTCAATACTTAATCTTTACCACTGTATTTATTCTTCATTATTTCTATATAAAAATGTACTATCCTTGCACATATTTTGCTTGGTTAATGTATGAAATATCATTTTTAAATGAACTCTGAATTACTTACCATCTAAGCTGTGGACTCTGATAAAATTTATTGATAAAATAAAATTCATTGATATGGTGTTTTTTTCTTTTTAGGACTCTTTTTCAGAGTACCTTCAATCATTTAGATGTAAGATCCAAGCTAGAAGGAAATGGTGTAAGAACAACCTAACACATAATTGTAAATCTTATTCATTTTTTATCTCTAAAAGTGAATTATGACGATACATACTTGGGACATCCATCTGTCCATTGTACAAGTCAGATTCCGTAAAGGATGGGTGATCTACTGTTAATGTCTAAACAAGAAACACAGAAATACTTAGAATCCTTTATAATGGTCTACGAGAAACTTATACGTGAACGAAAAATTGATCTCAAACAAATTGCAGACTTACCGGTTTAATGTAAAGAAAGCCGTGAGCAGCATATATGTTGCTTTGTTCTGGGGTGTAAACTTGGAATTCTCCATTCTGAAAATTATTAAAATCTTTATTTCATATGTATTATAATCTATTATAACAACGATTGCAATTTTGATATAAAAAAAAGTGACAGTTATTTGATGTCATTAACTATGTGGGATTGATAGTAAATCAAAAAATCAGTACAGAATTTTTTTATGTCTCGTAAACAAGTGGCAAAAACACAACCCTATAGCTAGATGCTTCCATCATATAACTGAATAATTTATGAATCCCTTAACACTCACCCCTCCACCAGCAGCGGTAATTTCTATCTTGTAGTGGCTTTTATCAAAAGTGTTAAAATCGTCACGAAATACGGTGACCTTGCGAAGACTTCTTACAGGAGCGACAGCATTCTCAGGCAGCAAGTTCACTATGACAGACAAATAAATATTATACACACCGAGTAGTCTTATTTGGATGGATACTAAAATTTATATTAGTTTACGGAATAGGTTTTTAATGTAGTTTAAGACAAATTCTGAAAACTTAAATTAGTCACTATGACCTAAAATATACTCAATTTGATTGACCTCCAGATGAGGGTTGTATTTAGTTATTTAGACAATATGTTGAAGTCATTTTGATGATTGGAGAAAAATCACACTGGCTAACGCAATAGTCTGTAGTGACTACATTAATAGGCATCCTGAGTAGACAAGTGAGTTAATTTTGACTGTATTATTGTCATTATGATAGATTCCGATACTCAATGTGACTATAATTTCTAATCAAAATGACTTTCCATCATATATATTTCTAGGCATTTTGACGATATCAAATATCATGTATGTGCATCAAATCATTTTGATTATCACGCATCGATGGCCTTCAGCGACCAAATATAACAATTATACAACTAATGTTGGAATAATTTACTATATAAATTCTATTTTTTAAGCATGATTAACTTATTTCACTTTATTGTCTAAATATACACAAACAAATAAAACCAATTACAATATGGCGATCATCTTAATTGAAAACATAAGATATATACACTGTACAAATGTAAAAGAGATCATATACACATTCATGTGCACATGTATATATTTCCAAACAAATTAATCTTACTGTTTGTGAGAAATTCTTTATCAATTAAAGAAATAGTTCAGATAACCGTCTCTCGTTGCATCCTTTCAGTGGTTACTTTGTTTTCCTACCTCTGACGTAGAACTGAAAGTTTTCTTCACCAAAGATTGAAATCCTTTTTTTTAACAAGTCTTGCAATGTAGAATAGTCTTTATAATTTATATAGTTGCTAGACGGGATAGAAAATTAAAGTACATGGAATAAAAATTACATCATCTGAGTATGAATGAAAACAATGTTATCAATCTTTAAAGGTAATATAAAAATATGCAATGTTCAGAAAAAATAATAGGTATCATGATACTAATAGTTTTATACATTAAATACAATTAAAAGCAGCAAAAAAGGTTACATTGTTTCATGAATGAACTTTTGAGTTTGATTACTGTTCGTTATCACCATATTTCATATATCTTGGCAATATGACACACGGGGATGCCATCATCATCCATTTTGTTTTATCCTGGTTTGGCTGTTCTTTCAAGAAATGGGTTAACCACAAAATATTATGATTTTATCAAAATGCCTAAATGCCTAAATGAAATATTATGAACAAAATATACGTTAGTCAAAAGCAGATACATGCGTGAATAATACTTGGAGATGTAGAGAACTCTACTAGGCCTATGGTCCGTAGAGAGTTAGTATAAACATTAGAGATTCGTTATAATCTATTTTCTTTCATAAAAAAATAATGTTAAAAATTTTTATAAATATCATTTATGATAATGTGATTTTCCTCATGCCAGTTGTATATTCTTAAGAATGTGTCTTCTGCTTTGTTTGTCCACTGGAAGTTGAGAGTCCATCCATGCCATACTGTGAGTTACAAAAAAAGAAAAAAGAAATGCGTGGTAAGTTAACTCTGGATTGTGAGCAAAAACCGAATTGAATTGTTTTGCAAAGCTCTATTTGAACACAACCACACCACCCCTACCCACATAACAACGTAAAATAGAATACTTGAAGCACAATTACTGATGAATTTGTTAATGACACCATTTATCTGTAGAACATTTTTTTTTAAATAACTTTGTTTTAAAATCATGGAAACAACAAAACATTACCTACCACCAGTTCGTGTTTCGTTTGGGAGGAAAATGGCGATTGACGCTATTATTTTTTCCCTCCAAACAATGTGAAACAAGATAACCGCGCATACAGTCAAAGGTAACGAAAGCTTGGTAATGTTGAGGAAACAGATAGTCAAAATATGTTTTGACTACCTAAGCAAAAGAAAATGACTTCAATTTTGGTCAAAGTGACTAATTCATGTTTTCAGTGATATATATTTAAACATATTATTATGTACTTTTATAAATTAAAAAAGTTTTCTTTTGATGAGTAGGCACAGCAAATTGTAGTTTTTTTTTCATTTTAAATGATTCACTTATAATCAAATAATACCAGATTTCCATTTCAATTCTTTTAGGACATTCTTCCTTCTAAGGATGGTCTGGTAATGAATGATGTCCCCCACTTTAACGTTGGCTTCAGAATCAATATGCTCCCAAACTCCGTTGTCTTCATTATTAAAATTAAAAGAAAATACAAAGAATGAATTTCAGTATATTCTTATGTTATCATTTTCTCTTGAACAGTTAAGTATTAGAAATAGATAACAGATTCTGCATAAACAAAAATAAATTCCATCCATAACAAATGAATGTGAAAAAAATTACAATACCGTTTTTCGACTTTAGTTTATACGTCTTGTCCTTTTGTCCTGACTGTTTTGTGCGAATACTGACAAAGGAAATGTCCTCATCCCCTAGAATATTTTGTCATTTTTTTTCAAAAAACTTTTTCAATCATATCGTGTTTTTTTTTTTCAAAATTTTATTCCCCATATCAAACGCTTTAACGACAACATACATCATACAGATTCACAACTTGCTTCACAATGTCTTGCATTGAATATATATGACATAAAGAAGTTTTATTGAACACTGAACTATAGGTATAAAAAAAGCTTTTGAGAGCAAATAATACAATTTATTTTTCAAAAATCACGAAAATTACAGCTAACGATATATTCATGAAAGTAAAAAAGTGAAAAACAAGTTTAAATGAATAAAGTGTTATTATTATCAAATTTTAACCATTTTTTACAATAATGTCCCATAAAGTGAAGTAAAATTGTATTCATTGATAAGGAAAATGGCAAAAAAGAAAGAAAATTTGAATATAGAAAGGCTCCAATCAATTTCTTAATATTTCTTAATATTTTAGAAATATTTTAAAAATTGTATATAAGCGTTAAGAATTACCCAAATACTAGTAAGTCCAAAAATATATACCAAGCAATGCGTACATGTTTTCCTTCGTAAACATGTGCCCTTTTGATATAAACACTCAAGGATATAAGACTTACCACATTTCGAAATCAATTAATTTCAAAAAAGTAAAAAAAAAAATTGAATATCCTCTCTATAGATTGTTAGATAGACTTACCAGTAAATTTTAATTTCAGTTGGGATTCCTTCACAATTGAAATATCTATGTTAGCATGCTTTGCACCTGTGACAATGACAGTAAAAACTGCCAAACATATCAAGCTGAATAGTTTCATAATGTACGCCATAAGTCTATTCTACGTAAATTTATAGGAATTTTTATCTCTCTCTGTTAAATTTAAGGACTCACCTAGGTCAGTGTTAGAAACCTTAAAAAGTAGTCCAATATATCTAAGTGACTCTGAAGGAACCATAATCTTGACAGTCACGAGAGAAATGTGAATCATATTGTCCTTTCTGACATACATGTACATGAAAGTTGTCATGTTGAAGACTTTATTTAAGAGATGAAATATGTTAGAAAGTACAATATTATCATCAGAGGTATGCAGAGTATTTATTTGTCTAATTAGAGTGTTTCAAAAGACACACTTGTCGACAGCAACAGCACCATCTCGGATATTATTTTCAAATTGTATTTTATTTTCCATGTTGAATGTAAAGGAAGTTCAAGGTTTATTTAAAAACGGTTTTTGCAGGGTTGCAGGGAATGTCAAACACTATGGTTAAGATTATAAAGTCGTCCTTTAATCTATTAGGTCTTGTATTATTAGTGAACACACTGAATAACGATAATCTTTGTGTTACTGTTAAAATTAAAGACAGTATGTAGCCACCCTCCAAAAATCAAGGTCAAAATCATTTTTTTTTCAAAAGTTATATTGATTTCTTTCTTATTAGGAAAAAATAAAGAATTCCCGTATATTTTTTGTTAAACAATCAACATTTTTCACACTATTTTTTATTTGTTACTAGTATTTGATATGATTGTGTATAATTAGTCTCAATAATGACTAAAATGTATAAAAATGCCTTATCTCATTTTTTCTTCTTCTTGCTTTTCATGGCTCAACAGATATAAAAAGAAATTCTTTTATACCCTTTGAAAAGTAAACATATTTTAGGCGGACTGTATTTCAAATCGGACTTTAATTTACACTTCCATACTCTGTGCCGTTTTCTGGTTCTAACAGGTCGAGACCACTAGATTTAATTTTCCGACGTCAGCATAAATTTGCATGTTTAATTAGTTATCTGTTTATTGCTAGCGCTCTCGAGCGCTAGCAACTACGTTAGTCTTTATTTCTGGAATACGCATGCTCGACTTCACGGTCGGGCATTCTGGGAAAACTACTGTAGATAGACTGTGCGATAACAATTTCGTTTTGTCATACAAATATAGATATGATCAGAATTTACACTAGCCTTTCCTGTCTGATATGTGCGATATACATTTCTTACGTTAGAGACAGGCAATACCAGTCTAGATCCGTATTCTGATTATTTTTTTAATTTATTGTCTAATCTACACATAAAAGTACAAGAAAAACTTAGGTCATATAATGCCGAGATTCTAGACATCTAGCTTTCCTCACAGTTATACCACCTTCCTGGATAATTTCGGCAAGCTCGGAAAAAATCTTTTCAGAGTATGTCGGAAAGACATGTCAGTTTAGTTTTTATCATCTGAAAATACATATGATCTGAAGTTTCGTGTTTTGTTGTCTATCCTGCACGTAAATAAACAAAAAGTAACAGTTACTCGGGTCTTATAAAACGAAGACTGTTATTTCTAAAATTGTAATGAATACCTAGCTTTTCTAATCTACCTTCATTGATTTTTCCGGCAAGTTCGGAAAACCGCCGCTACCTCGGATATGTTTACCGAGCTTGCCGGAAAGTTCCGAGAAGATGCGATTGCTAAAAAACAGTACCACATTGGAATATTTTAAACTAGTGCTCATTGGTTCTACTGACCTTTTTTTCACCTCCAAATTGAAATTACAGTAGAATACAGAATGCTTAAAGCACAGTTAGGAGTTATGCCATTGCCGACGTGAAGCCCACTCTTAGATTCACCATTCTGAATTATGACCCCCCCCCCCCCGACTCAACCCCTCAGTGCTCCAATTAATGTGCCTTCTTATTAATAATTAATCGATTCAGCAAATTTAACAAATGGTTCAGGTATCTTCTGTATTTTATTATGCTACAGCGCTAGCTCACCAATCTTTTTAAAAGATAAGCTTGTACTTCCTCGACTGACCAATCAGTCAGTGAATGAGTTGCAATGCATTATGGGCTACCACGAGTTTCAGTACGAACACAATGTATAGAAAATTTTAATTTGTCCCCTGGAAGCTCCTTTTTGATTCGTTTTCGATATTTTTGAAATATTTATTTAAAATGATTTATAATCTATCTTTTCTATGCTCACATTTACCAAGTCTGATTTATGAAGCCTTGCATTAACTTGTGTAAATACCCGCGTAAACTATTGTTCAAAGAGACGTTGGTGCTATTGTGTTGAACAAACAGTGACTTAAGTGTTTATATTTCACGTGATACCCCTGGTTTTGGAAAGCAAAGAAGAAAAACATTGATGACAGAATATATAGCTTTGAGGTAGTTGATGGTAATATGGATTGCTTAGACTAAAACTTTTTCCTGTCAGTGGTATTCTGTTCAAGTACTCCAATGCCATTTCAATATCGTGCTCATCTGCGACCCAAATGCTTTATTTTTATAGGAGTTTTAGGTGTGAAGGAAAAATTTGGATGCTTTTTTGTTGACAAACATCCAAAGCCTGTTTTTCTCCTTTTGGGTGCATTATATCTATTAATGCATGTCGAATATAATATCTTTTATTTAAGATGTTTTTTGATTCGTTTATCAATGTACATGCATACGTTTAAGCACTTAGACAGTATTTGAAATAACTGGGTGAATTCAAAAATAATGACAGGCAAATCGAATTTTTTCTTAGAAAAAATACAACTTACCGTAACATATTTTTCAATTACATCATCAAACTTTTCATAAACATAAACATTTGAGTTAAAATTAGAATGCATAAAAAAGTTCCAAAATTTTTATTAGTAGAGCTTCATTTGAAAAAAAAAATAATATTACTACATCCTAAAAGACTTTCTAGAATACTTAATGAAATGAAATTTTAGTTTTCTATCGTTCAGACTTATGTTAGGGATACAAATGATTAGATCTAAACCTTAATTTAGTTTTTAATCTCGTGTGTATATGAAAAAAAAATCGATTATTGTTTGTTATTTTACATAAATCGTCTCAATTCTGATTTAAAAAGTTTTAATATGGGAGAAATATGATACAAGCAATTCTCCCTAAAATTACTTTTTTTGTCAATTTAGGCAATTTTTCAAATCTGAACCAAAAAAAAAAAAAGAAAGAAGAAATTTGATATATAAATACAAGTTTTCTTACAAAAAATACTAGATTTTGAAGAGATGATCCTATTTTACCTTTTCTTGTTGCACTTCTGACATCTGTTATGTTTTTGTTTTTGTTTTTGTTTTTTTTAAATTCAGCATTCTTTTCAAAATTATAACACACAATGACTCATTCAAAGTTTGTAGAGCAGTTGTCACTTTGATATTTTTATCATTTATACAGCAAGATGTTCATATTTTCTTGACTTCGAAATATGATAATTTGCTCATATAATATATATTAAAAATATATGTTTAGTAATAAAAACTATTCTGTGAATTGACTTTAAAGTGGCCAAAAATGTCTGTAATTTTTTGGTAGACATAATAATTTCAACTACAAACAGTATAAACAGTAAACAGTAATTTGTTAGTAAAGAGAGATGTAGTTCATTGATAATTATAAAACAGTTTGTTGCACTCTTGATTGCAGTAAAATATAACATTAAAAGCATAGAACACAAAAATTCATTAAGTTTTGTTGATATCAAGTTGTAACGAAATTGTGAAATATTTATTTTCCTGATACTTCCTGGTTTAAAATGCATAAAATTGTTTAAACATGGGTTTGTATCACATATTATTCCCTTTTGATGTCACAAAACTAGCTAAAGATACATGTATATTTCACTTAAAAGAGGAGTCTATTTTACAGGAAATTTTACTTCATTTTACGGAAACACTGTAAGCAATTAAGTTCAAACAGAAACATTCTATATTTTTTTTCTTTTCATCTATTCCTACGTATTTCTAAATATGTTTAGCTCAGATAATATTAAGCAGTATGCATACTTTCAGTGCAATAACGCAGACAAAAACTAGTAGTACAGACGAAATAAAAACAATGTAAAACACTAAATTGATTAAATTCTAAGGAATATATAATCGAAATTCAT